CTTGAGATCCGAGCTCCAGTTGGGGCGCTCTCTCTCCACGATCTCCGCGTACTTCTCGGCGTCGGCGACGAGCCCCGTGTTCGTGGCCACGGGCGCCGCGCGCACCTGGCGGAGCCGGCCCTTCTTCGCGTCGACCTTCTGGAATATATCTGCGAAGATGGCATCCGACTGCTCGGCGCCGTGGATCCTCTTGCGCTTCTCCACAGCCGCCCGCGCATCATCTCGACCGCAGTCGGCGATGATATCGTCGTCGGCAGCTGCCAGCTGGGCCGCCTCCTGCGTGTTCGGCACCTGCATGCCCTCCAAGCTGCCCATGAGATCCCGCGAATACTGAGAGAGCGCGGGGGGGGCCGGCCCAGCCGATGAGGCTGCCGCGGAGGCGGAGCGAATGCGCGCACCCTCTGGAGGAGGATGCCCCGCGGCCGACGCCATCGGGGCCGCGCGCTGCGTGAGCGGGAGAGCAGCTAGCTAAACGGCAAAGAGTCGGGATGCCTCGGGTTGTAGACAATGGCTCTGGAGCTGTGCATTAGAGCTCTGGGCGTCGATGATGATAGAGATGGAGATGTGCCTGTTGCTGCTTCTTAGATATCCACAACTGAAATATTTGTAAAGGTACCTTCTGGGTCATGCGTCAAAGCTGCGAGCGGAAGGCGGTCTGACGGATGATCTGCTTCCTATTGAAGGGAGTGCGCCAAGCGTTGGATCTACGCGGTGCAATCTATGCGGCGCAATCCGCGCGTGCAATATATGTGCGCGGCAACCTATGCGATGCATGGATGGCGCGGTTTAAGTAATGCAATCGATACCTTCGCCACGCCTTCCCCAAAATCGCGCGTTGAACCTACATAGTATAAACTATGCGGCGCAATCCACGTGGTGCAATATACGTGCGCGGCGCCCTATGTGATACATGGATGGCGCAGTTTGAGTAATGTAATCTATGCGATGCAAACAATTTGTCAAACGCTATGCGCCCGCTAGTCCTGGTGGCGACCCATGGCCGAGGGCCACGCTATGGGCCGTTCTTTTTTCAAATCTCACGAGTGGTGCAGTACCTCTGCATTAGAGCACTGGACGTCGATGGTGATAGAGATGAAGAGACGATTCTTTTTCCAGCGGCAATGACCGGCAAGGCGTTCCAAGCATCGCTGCAGCGAGGTGCTCGGGCGCAGCGAACAGCCCTGAACCACAGGATCCGCGCGCGCTGCGCAACTGCTACAAAGTGCCACCCCTCTAAATGATGCAATCCAGCGCGCGCCCCTCATTTCCCGCTCCCATCCAAGCCCTTGCGCGTGTCAACCCGCCCTCCCATGGGGCGCGCCGCGCGCTCCACGCGCGGCCGTGCGCAGCTGCTGCAGTCAGGACGCGGCCCAGCCACTCACGCGGCCGCGGAAGGGCCGGCCGCCGCCGCGGCGCCGGCCTATCTCACTTATTACCCGACACTTTGGCGCAGCATCGGCATGGATAAGCCAGGCGGCACGGCATCGCACCTGGCACGAAACTGTCCTTGGGGACGATCAGGGGAGAAATGGTGTCGTCACGGTCAGCGCAGCAATAGCACCGAGCGAACGCCTCCGCCGCGGGCAGCGCCTTGGCCAGGGGGCCGACGCAGTCGAAGTACTTATCACCCTTGTTTGCGAAGCCATAGCCACGAAACAAGTGAATCTCTTCGACGACGATCTGCTTTTCGTCGAAGATAAGCTGGTAGCACTCCCCGTAAGAACGGCTGGTCTTCGGAGGCCCATCGCATCCGACCTTCAGAACGATGCGGGTGTACGGGATGCTGAAGTCGGGGTGCTCTGAGAACCGCGTGGCGACGCCGTGGTAGAAGGCGCCGCCCCACGTGAGCGTGTCAGCCACATACACGCCGACGTCTGTGCACTCGTGGATGCGGGTGTCGCTGGAGTTCTTAAGCCCATATTGTAGAATGCTGGGGAGGCAGTGGAACGTCGTCCCGTGCCAGTACGACTTGTAGCTTGCCTTCGTGGGGAAGGTCGTCTCAAACACCATATGTTCCACCCAACCGCCCTTTGGCTCTCTGAAGACATGCTGATCGCCCTCCTGGTGCTTCACGTTGGGGAGTCCAGCGACGAACCGCAACAGCAGGTCCTGTGACGAAATATTGCCGTGCTGCCACTTAGTCATCCACTTCTGCACATTGGGCGCGTTCCAGCGGTGCAGGGCAGTGTGCGTCTCACGGGCAGAGTGCTCAAATACCGGAGACGACATCGCGGCCGCAGCTGAGTCGGGCAACCTGGGATGGAGCGCGCGCGAAAGCGGCGTCGAGCCTGCTTGAGCCACGCAAGTCTACTGATAATATTCAGCAATCCTGCGAGTGAGCGGGGCGGCAGAGTCCGCGAGGCTACCGAAGCCGCTGGCGGTCTCTCGGCCTCCTACCCGCGCCGATCGGCCTCCGCCTTCTCGGCCGGCGCCTCGCTACCCGCCCCCCCCCCCCCCGCGTCTCTGGCGCGGCCCCCCACTCAGCCCGCCCCTCTGCGGCCCGAGTCGAGAAGGGAGATAAGCTCTCCCGCGCTAAGCTCTGATGACAGTTTGAGACAACCGGCTAGGGCAATCCGAAATGACAATTGGAGCCTCTCACCCAAGACGATCACGAGAGCCCCCTAGAACCTCCCGAGGCGCGACCTAGAGGCCTCCAAGAAGCTCCTTAAAGCTCAACGCCGCAGACATTGTGATCCTGGATGAGACCGGCGAGTACATGGAGGAGGTAAGGTCTTGCCCTGGTAGCTGCTTAAGAGGGTCGGCTGCAAATTCGCCCCGATCGATCGAAGGCAGAAGCTCTCACTGCTCTACATAGATTGGTGGTTGAGCTGGCCAAGTAGGTCGAACGAAATTGTTTGGTGACTGGGGTATAACGAGAAACCTGGAATCGACCTCAAAGTCATCGCTAATCCAACAATGACAACCATGCGTGGCACGGGGTATGCGATGTTCTGTTTTTCTTGTCAAATGTAATGCGCAACACCCTAACTGCTTCAAGCTATGCGAGGTTTCTGGAGCCTATCCAGTTTATATTTGCCAGCTGCATCAGCCAGCGCGCGCAATGAGATCAATATGCAGACTCGAAAAGCACAGGGCCTAGAGGGAGGGCAACGGCGGCTCAGCGGCGGCGCTTCCGACTAAGATTGAAGCAAGGAGCTATCTGCTTGCAATTGCTGATCACTTGCTGGTTGATATTTAACTCGATGGGCCGGTGATCTGGCAGGGCAAGCGCGTGCCGAATGTACGCCTGAAGTAGATTTCTATTTCTAGGTTTTAAGAATGCAGGCAGACAGCCGATTGAAAGAGGCTTCTCATCTGTTGCTGTCTACCTCCATTCTGAAAACTTGGATTAACAAATATGCCTTCACGGACAAGATCGTGGTGGAGTAATTGGCGATGTACTGGTCGAGGTCCTGCATCAGATTCTGAGTGTGCTCGACCGTCACCCGAATGGAGAGCTGGTGCGTATACTGGCAAAAGCTTACGAGGACGGCAGTCGCTTGCACTTGGCGAACATGGCGAACTGCTATCCATTCCAGTTCGTCGTCGGCAGGCTTGTACAGCATGATATGACCTGAGGAGGCGTCAGCTATAGTTACTCTTGCGCCGATTTGGCCGAGCTCTCCTGGTTTCAGGAAGCGCGAACGTGTCCCCTCGGTCAGCCCGCGGAGGCACGAACGCAACTCCGCCTTAAACTCAGACCGAGCAGCGGCACAAATCGGCACAATGGTATGTATAACGTTTCCCGATCGCCGTCGTAACGCTGGAAGGTCCATTTCTTCCAGGCGCACTGGAAGTTATATGGGATCCAGATCTTGTCCTCTGGGCAAACGCACGGAAGGGGATAATGCTAAAACTTATTCTTATTATGAAAGCACAATTTAAATCATAAGGCCTTCAATCATTCAACACTCCCCGAATCCTCGCCGTTATCAATGCGATCTTGTTGACGCTGGCCCAGTTTGTTCCAGGCGATGGAAGGAGGCAAGTTCGGCATTGGCCCCATCGCGGCCCCGCCTTCAATGTAAGTAAATTCGTACGCCATGGCGTACGAAAATATACAGCTGCAGATTTCAAATCTTGAGTCATCCGCAGCAGCTTTATACGCAATATATGCATAAGAAAATACCATATTGACATGTGTTGACCAATATTAATTATATAGATGGGAGGATCTCTCAGGCGAGACTGGCCCGACCACCTCAGACCAAGGGATATCTCAGCCCGGAGTTGCGAAGATGTCTTAAGCGAAACTGGGCGGACCACCTCGTGCGAGGCATCTCGGAACACAATCCGCAGCAGCTATATATGCAATATATGCAGAATAACGTAACACATGAACATGTGTTGACCTACATTAACAATCTATGCACCGTGTAAATGTAAGAATACATGTTGTTAGTATACTAGTATTGGTAGTAATACTTACTACTATATTTGCAGCTGCTACTGCTACATAGTAGTAGTACTTAGTAGTAGTAATAATTCCTAGTGAAAATAGTAGTAGTACTTAGTGGTGTTAGTACTTGGTAGTAGTAGTAGTAGTAGCACTTACTACCACTACTACTTAGCATCTACTACTACTCAGTAATCATTAGTAGTCGTACTTATACGAATAACAAGTGCTACTACTACTTAGTATTAGTAACTACCACTGTGGTGCAATTTATGTGTCGGCGCTTGCCATGAGGCCCCCAAGAGCATCTATGGATTCCTCGTGGTAGTAATACTTAGTAGTCGTGGTAGTACTGGTAGTAATCAATATTTCTCCCTCGGCCTCCTCGTCGAGCCGTCCGCTCGAAGAGGCTCCCAGGAGGCCCCCAAAGGCCCTCAAGAGCGCACAAGAGGCCCCACGAGGCGCCCAAGAGGCCCAAGAATAAGCTCAAATATACTCACAAACGCTCCAAGAGGCCTCCAAACTGCCCCCAATAGGCACCCGAGGGGTCCCCCACTACATCCCAACGAACATCCAAGAGGCCTCTAACCCGCAACACGGGCAG